GTTTTGTAAGAAAATGCATTATCTGTGAGGCACAATAATAACACAGGGAATGCTGGCATATTCATTCTAATAGCTTTTTAGTAATCCCTTTTGGGTTTTACTAGCAGACATTCTTACTATATATAAATCTAATCTTTTTAAGGCTATTTATCATTTAGAATCTTTACCTTTTAGGGTAAGAAATTTGAAGTGTCTTTTCTGCTGGATAATATAGTGCTGGTTGTTAAAATCCATGAAGTTGATTCTGACTCATAGCTACCCTGCACAGGGTTTGAACCGCCGGCCTTGCAGTTAGCAGGTCAGTGTTTCTCCTACAGCACGACACCAGGGCCCCAGCATTTGTCCTAAATGCACTTCAGTCAAACCTCAGGTGTTGTCCACTAGTTCTGATATTCTACAGTGTGTTTAACAGGTGCTCACATGACTTCCACTTTTCATGAAGTACATAATTCATTCATAGACCAAAACCAAATATACATGAGGTAAAATAAGCTAGAAGTCCTTCTCCTTCTTTCATGTTGTTGTTATTAGGTGCCATCTAGTCAGTTCTGATTCATAGTGACCCTGTGTAGGATTTCTGAGGTGCGGCTGGTGAATTCGAACCACCAGCCTTGCGGTTGAGTGCTTATCCTACAGCACCACACCATGAGAGTGCATAAAAGAATATTTTTCAAGTTGGTACCATCACTCCTGGGTATCCTAGAGAGTCATGTTATTGTTAAGGGGCAGCTCTTGTAATAGCATTTTACAAAAAAAGAAAAAGAAAAAGTCAAATGCTTCTTAGCACAAAAAATGGCAGGGGCTAATCTTATGAAAAGGACAAGAACAAAGCTTCCCTGATTGTAGGAGCACTGATTTTTCTTTAATATTAAGATTTGTAGTCCCAAGAAAAAAAAATGAATCTTTGCCTAGGTGATCTATGCTTAGCTCTGGTAAGGAAGTAGCCCCTGAAGACTGAATTGTTGTTGTTGTTAGGTGCCATCGAATCAGTACTGACTCATAGCAACCCTATGCACAACAGAACAAAACACTGCCCGATCCTGGGCCAACCTCACAATTGTTGCCAAGCTTTAGCCCATTGATGCTGCCACTTTGCCAATCCATCTTGCTGGGGGTCTTCCTTTTTTCATCTTAATCTCCATCTTAACCAAATATGACATGCTTCTTCAGCGACTGTTCCCTCCTGACAATACTTCCAAAGTATGAGAGACGAAGGCAAATCTGCTGCAAAAGACCTCTTTGAAAGTGTTAAGGAGCAAAGATATCAGTTTGAGGACTAAAGTGAGCTTCACCATTGTGATGATATTTTCAGTCACCTCACAGGCTTGTAACAGCTGGACAGTGAATGATGAAAAGACTGGAGAAGGATCGATACATTTGAGTTACTGTGTTGGTGAAGAATATTGACAGTACCATGGACTACCAGAAGAACAAACAAATCTGCTTGGGAGAAGTGCAGTCAGAATGCTTCTTAGAAGCAAGGATGGCAAGACTTCGTGTCACATACTTAGGACATGTTATCAGGAAGAATCAGTTCCTGCTTGGTAAAGTAAAGGGTCAACTAGAAAGAGGAAGACCCTCAATGAGGTGGAGTATTAACAAAGTGGTCACAACAGTGGACTCAAACCCTTAATCTGTGGTACAGCTCTTTTAGGAGATTCCTTGAATTCCCTCTCTCCTTCTGTCTTCTTTCTTCCTTCTGTCTGCCCACACCTGTGGGACTGGCTGTATATTTAAGCAAATTCCTCTTCAATTCTCAGGCGTGGCTCTCCCACCCATGCTGCAAACGGATCAATCCCCTCTTGGGATTGATGGGCCACATGCAAATTATTTGCATAAGTATATTGACCCATCTCCGCAAGGTCATACCAATCACAGAGCAAGCTGTATCAAACCATAAGTTGCTTACAGTTTACCCAAGAAATATCAATCAACTTGGGCAGAGCTAACAAATTCTCTGGGATACGAAACTAGGACAAAGGCTTCCTTAGGATTTAAGGAGAAAACTCTCCAAGTTGTTTTGTCAAAGAGCAAAAGCCTACATATAGGAAGCTTTAAAAAGTGGTTCTACTAACAAGAGAGTCTCCTGACAGTTCAGGAGAGAACTTCATCTACCACCTGGCATTTCTCTCTATCTAGATGGAGTTCTGGTGTGGTGCTGTGGGTTAATGCACTGGAATGCAAGGTCCGTTTGAACCATAAGGTCAAGCTAACCAGTCTCTCCTCAGAAACCCTATATGGGGTCATTGTGCATCAGAACCAACGCAACTGCGCTCAACAACAACATCTGGGGAGATAATGAGGCAGGGTGGCTCCATGGATTGTAAGGATTGCACTATTCATTAGCTAGAAACATTCATTGAGGCGGAAAATAGAGGTCCCTGCCATATTCCAGTTACATTACCAAATAGAGACAATAAAAGGCAGACCACAGAAGATGATCTACAAGTCACCTAGAGAAGTATCCAAGGCCAGCACACCTCTGGCGGGAGCGCTCTATCTCTAATGGCAGGCTGGTTCTTCACAGCAAGGTTTTCTTTGAACTAAAAGGGAAATATAACCACGTCTACCAATCAGCCTCTTCTAGATAAATTGTTGTTCCAGTTTTGTGCTGTCAAGTCAAATCCAACTCAAAGTGACTCTATATAACAGGGTAGAAGCGCTCCACAAGGTTTTCTAGACTGTAATCTTTAAAACAACAGATTCACCAGGTCTTGTCTCTTGTGGAGCTGCTTGTGGCCTCAAATTGCCAACCTATTGGTTAGCAGTCAAATGTTTAACCAGTGCTTTGTTGTTGTAATGTGCTGTGGAGTCAGTTCAGACCATATAGAATTTCTGAGGCTGTAAATCTTTTACGGGAACAGAAAGCCTTATCTTTCTCCTACAGAACGGCTGGTGGTTTCGAACTGCTGACCTAGAGGTTAGCTGCCCGACTCGTAACCACTACGCTATCAGAGCTCCTTGGTGGTGGTGGTGGTGGTTATTTGCCGAGGAGTCAATTCCGACTCATAGTGACCCTGTACAGGATTTCCAAGGCTGTAAATCTTTACGAGAGCAGAACGCCTCATCTTGACTTTGACCGTGAGGCTGGCAACCCAATTTGTAACCACTACGCTTCCAGAGCTCCTTACCCAGAGCTCCTTAGCCAATCTCAAATCAGTTCTATCCAGCTAACACACTATCAGACAAGGGTTTGAAATTAACCATATTATTCAACTGTTTGAATCCACACAACGGGATTATTACGGTACGTATTTATGATCCCAGTTTTACAGATGAGGAGACTGAGTTTTAAAGAGATTGTAACAATTAGTTGCCAACGCAGCAAACATTCACACCTCTCTTTATCCTTTCTAAGAAGCCGGATATTGCTCAGGTATCCCAAATTCTCTGCAAGGTCATGTGTTTCAGGAGTCCAATCATCAGCCCAGGAGGGAGGGGAAGAAGTCATGAATTATGCAAGACAATCATGCTAAGCCTATTCCCTGTTCTAGTTATTGCTTTACAGGTAGGTATGTCACACACTTCTGGCCAAGGAATATGATGCTACAGAGTCTAGAAGGCATTTAGAAGGATTTTCTTGCTGATCAAATAGACAGGCCCTCTTTATCTTCAGGACAGTGTTGGGTCAGCATAAGATTCCTAGACCTTAAGGCTGACAGTAGCCCGGGACTATCCATTGCAGATGACAAAGGAAAATATTGGAAAAAATCTGAGTTACTGCAATGATGAATTGCTGACATCTCAACGTTATGTTTAATTATAACTTCTTATCATAGAGTTTAAAATTGCTTTTTTTAATTATTCAGTCACTCTGGGTTGGCATTTCTTTTATTTCCAACCCAAAGCATCCAGGTAGATCCAGAAAGTAAATCACTTGCCAAAGGTTGCAACACTTCTAGTAAGCCATGTTGTTGTTAAGTGCTGTCGAGTTGCTTCGGGGGCCCGTAGCAACCCTGGATAGAGTTTCTTAGGATGGGCTGATGAACTTGAACCACTGACCTTGTGGTTCAAATCGACTTTGCAGTCCAGAGCATTAACCCACAGCACCATATCAGGACTCCTAGTAATCCACTGTTGTTGTTGTTATGTGCCGTGAAGTCGGTTTCAACTCATAGCGACCCTGTACAGGGTTTCCGAGGCTGTAACTCTTTATGGGAGCAGAAAGCCTCATCTTTCTCCCATGGAATAGCTGATAGTTTCGAACTGCTGACCCTGAGGCTCGCAGCCTGATTCGTAACCACTACGCTACCAGAGCTCCTTAGTAATCCATAGAGCTTAGCTAAAATTCAAGCTCTGTGAATTTACCAGTAATATGTTGTTGTTAAGTACCATTGAGTTAGTTCTGACCCACAGCACCCCTGTCTAGGATTTCTGAGGAGTGACTGGTGAGCTTGAACCACTGACCTTGTGGTTCAAACTGACTTTGCAGTCCAGCGCATTAACCCACAGCGCCAAACCAGGACACCAGAAGTATATATGCCCCATTTTCCTGGGGTTTGTAACAAAGTCGAAAAGTCCGTTCATAGGATCCATTAGAATCATTTTGCATGGGAGGATCTCTCATTTCATCAAGCATCTGTCAACTATCTAATACTAAAAAAGACTCCCTGAAAACTGTATTTTACATAATACAAAACAAATCTCTTCTTTCTCCCGACAGTGTTTTCCCTCTCTGAAGCATCACATCTGTTTCTTATTCTGTCCACAGTGTCAAGATAACAGGATTTAATTACCAAATTTATACACCACCAGCATGGCATAAATGCATTGGCCTGAAATAAAATGAATGCAGTTATTGAAAAAAAAAAAGAAAAGAAAAGAAACGCTGTATCAATACAGTGACAGCGGAGACAGAGACAACCGTTTTATTTACTTTATCGCTTTGCGGGAAGCAGTTAGGCTATTTCAAAGAGATTATTGGATTTTAATGATTCAGGACATTAAAGACATGTCTCCCAGCAACAATGACACTGTATCTCAGGTAAAGGAGGCGATACATTCAAGACATCATCACCTGTTTTTAGTATCGTCTTCCCATTCATTCCCAAGGTAGACCTATCATAACCATTCTTCATTGGCTGGCGAGTGAAGAACGTCATTGAGTGCTCTTAGTAGGCCTGGAAGATCTTCCTAGATTAGGACTCAGCAGCTACCACTGTCCCTGTCCTCAAGGGCCAGGTGTTGTTGTTAGGTGCTGTTAAGTTGATTCTGATGGATAGTGACTTATGCATAACAGAGGTAAACATTTCCCAGTCCTGCCCCATCCTCACAATCCTTGCTATATGTGAGCTCATTGTTGCTGTCACTGGGATGATCCATCTTGTTGGAGGTCTTCTTTTTCACTGACCTTCTACTCACCAAACATAATGTATTTCTCCAGGAACTTGTCCCTCCTGACAACATGGCCAAAGTACATGAGACAAAGTCCCACCATCCTCACTTCTAAGAAGCAGTCTGATTATATTTCTTCCAAGGCCAATTTGTTGCATTTCAGCTACCCACTCCTTCCGGGTCACAGATCATCTTTCTCTGGACATAGTCCAAGTTCCAAAACTCATAGTCTCCTTTGGATTCCATGAAGCTGATGGGAGGCTAGCAATCAGGTAAGAAGTAATCCCCAAACTTACCTGTCATATTTCCCCATGTCTCAACTCGAGCAGTTTTACTTTTGATCCGTTTTGTCATTTGGGCTTTCTCATAAGATATTTTGAAGAGATGGCTTCACAGCTTAAGAAGTTTGGGCAATGATAATGTAGGCTAACCTCTCTGTTTTCTAGAAACTGAACAACGGAGAGGGGAAATGAAGGTCTTGGGGCAGTTGAAGGTAGAGATGGTTCTAGAACCAGGTCTCCACCATTCCTAGGCTGGTGCTCTTTCTGCTCCTCCCGGGTTCCTCCCGACAGCATCTGAAGAGCTGATGTTGAACTTCTACTGTTTCCAACAACAACCACACTCACCAGGAGCTATGCCCGCTAACCAAGAAAATGATTAAGTGGCCTCCTCTATCCAAGTACCCGTTCTTGGATTTACACAATAAAGATTCACTTTTTCATTTGGTATTCCCAATACAGTCAGAATGGACTCAACCTCCAAATACTTTACCTATTCATGAAATTTTATACAAAATATCCTAGCCTAGACCTGTTTCCCTGGGAATATGAATAAAATGAGTTTTCCTCAGTTTTCTCAGCTATGAAATGGCATAGTAATAGCACTTGCATTTTAGCATTGTTGTGAGGGGTAAAGAAGAGAGAATGTTCTTAGTGTGCTTTGGTAAGAGAGTATTAGGAACACGTGGCATGGGGCCTGGAACACTTAACATAGAGTAGCTATTGTCAGTGTTAGGATGTTCTTCTCACCTCCCAGAACTATATGGACCCAATAACGTGCCATAGTGAGAAAATCCATTTGTTCCCTACTTTTCTAATAATAGACTCCCTCCCTAAGCTTACTGGTTCGCAGCTGAGTTTTGCAGAGAGCTTTCTGTGGACATAATAAGAATACATGATTTGAATATAACTTTAATAAAGTCAGGAGTCCTGGTGTGGTGCTGTAATATAAAGCACTGGATTGCAAGGTCAGTTTGAACTACAAGGTCGGTAGTTCAAATTCACCAGTTGCTCTTTGGAAACCCTATACAGAGTCGTTAGGAGTTGGAACCAACTCGAAGACACGTCATAAAAACAACAACAACAACTTAATAGAGTCATGGCCATTAAGAAAGGCCAGCAATGTTACCCACTGTAGTGGGGCCTTGGCTCTTTGTCCAGGGGAAACTCATGGTCTGCCTCACCCTAAAAGCTCATCTGGAAATTGCAGTTTTCTGGGAGGTTAGGACCCAAGTATCTGAGCTGCTACAAGGTTCATCCCAGGGTGGGCCTCAGGTCAAGCAGGTTTGCGCAGGTTTGATAATGGGAGTATGGAGGGAAGAGGGGAAATCTAGTTTGGAGATGGCAAGTGGGAAGAAACCACTGCCCTTCTACAAAGTGTCAAGGAATAGAGGAGAGGAGTGTGGAGAGAGCACACAGTAGGCATCACTGTGCCTGAGGGATCTGCCAGGGAAATTAGAGCCTCTAGGTCTGCACCGGGAAACCAAAGGAGATAAAGAACCATTGTTTGTTACATTAGTCACTACATCTGACTAAATAGCGTTCAAAATGCAGATACAAATAGGAAGATTCGCCTCTTCCGGAAGAAAAAGACAAGAAACCCCAACTGTGAGAAAACTACCTTAAAAGACGTGTTCCAGCAGCACTTAGCAGGCATGGCGGGAGCCAGCTTGCCTGGGTTACAAACAGCCTCACCAACATAAAAGCTGAGCAATTTGGGGCCAGTTCCTTAGCCCTGTAAGCCTCAGTTCCCACAGCTATGAAATGGGGGTGATAATGGTTGGCTTTGAATGGCGTAAGGATTACAAGAGAACATGCATGTAAAGTGCTTGGCATAGTGTCTGGCATAGTTAATAACTGGTACTCCCATCAGAGCTCTGGTAGCGTAATGGTTGCGAATGGGGCTGTGAACTTAAGGTCAGCAGTTCAAAACTACCAGCCGCTCTGTGGGAGAAAGATGAGGCTTTCTGCTCCTGTAAAGATTTACAGCCTCGGAAACCCTGTACAAGGTTGCCATGGGTCAGAACCAATTCAACAGCACATAACAACAACAACATTCCCATCACACTTAGGATGCTGTTCTCCCCTCCCACGAGGGCTATACAGACCCAATGAGGTGTGACAGTGAGAAAACCTCAAAAGGGGCTTCCACCTCTTCCATGAGTCAGGGTAGACCAGTGTGTGTGGCCCCACCATGTTCTGAAGCACTCAGAAAAAGCAGATCCAGGAAGTGAACATCACCCGGAAATCTCTGAGGAAAAGGGGCATTCACCCAAGAACTAGGCCTTGAGTTCATTCTCAGGGGTGGTGCCGGGAAGGAGATTTCAATTCACTCCAAAAAGTTATTTCTCCTAATGAGAGCCAGTCAAGAATAGAAGACTTGCCTGGAAAAACTCTGAGTTCCCTTTTCAAAGGTCCTTTAATGTGGTTATAATGTGTTGTAAACAACCCTCAGGAAGACAGGACTAGTGAGTCTTGGCCTCCAAAACTGTTCAAGGCAAAGCTGGATGATCAGATGCTGGTTGCGGGTGCGCTGCACCCTCATGCCTAGAAAGTTAATATCTAGAGGTCAATTGCTTTGCAGAGGTACAGTGGTTTAAATCCTCAGCTGCTAACCAGGAGGTTGGCAGTTCAAACCCATGGACTCTCCATAGAAAAAAAGATGTGGCAGTCTGATTTCCTAAAGATTACAACCTCAGGAACCCTATGAGACAGTTCTATTTTTTCCTGCTGGGTGGCTGTGAGTTGAAATTGACTCAATGGCAGTGGGTTTTGGGGGCTACAGAGTCCTGGTGAGGCGCTGTGGGCTAATGCATCAGGCTGCAAAGCCATTTGAACTGCAAGGTTGGTGGTTCAAGCTCACCAACCGCTCCTCGGAAACCCTATACAGGGTTGCTATGGGTCAGAATCAATTCAACGACACTTAACAACAACAACAGTCTATGTGCACACATTAGCTCAATTCATCCCAACCTGAGATATGTATTATTAGTAACTCCTTTTATAGAAGAGGAAAACTGAGGCACACAGACTGCAAGTCACTTACCCAAAGTTGCACAGTTAAGGTTCCAAACCCAGGTACAGTCGTCCTTGGAGCCCATGAGTAAACCGTGGTATGCACAGCTCTACCCACAGCATACTTTGTCCTTCCTTACCTCCATACTGCTGTGGATAGAAGCTTGGGGTCAGGGATGCAAACTGAGTGGGGACTCTACCATTTCTCTATGTGACCATTTCTACATGTGACCATTTGATCCTGATTGGGACAGGGGTAATCTTAGCAGCTTTCTGTAACAGCATTGGCCAACTTGTTACTTCATATGTCTATTGTATTTGAATGTGTCTCATACTTCAGACATGTCATCAGGAGGGACCAGTCTCTGGAGAAAGACATCACGCTTGATCATATGAAGAGTCAGCAAAAAAGAGGAAGACCCCCAATGGGATGGACTGACGCAATGGCAGTAGCAATGAGCTCAGGCATAATAGCAGTTGTGAGGATGGTGTAGGACCAGGCAATGTTTCATTCTGTTATTCATAGAGTCACTAGGAGAGGGAACCCACTCAACAGCACCTAACAACAAACAACATGCCGATTGCAAGGAGCTTTGATGATGCATTGGACTGCTAACTGCAAGGTCAGTGGTTCAACCCCATCAGCTGCTCTGCAGAAGAAGGATGAGACTGTCTGCTCCCAAAAAGATTTAGCCTTGGAAACCCTAAGGAGCAATTTTGCTCTGTCCTATACCAGCTGCTCCTTGGAAACCCTAAACAAGGTTGATATGGGTCGGAACCAACTCAATGGCACTTCACAACAAAAACAATATAGTCACTAAAGAGCTCTGGTAACGTAGTGGTTATGAATCGGGCTGTGAACCTTAATGTCAGCAGTTTGAAACTACCAGCTGTTAAGCAGGAGAAAGATGAGGCTTTCTGCTCCCGTAAAGATTTACAGCCTCGGAAACCCTGTACAGGGTCGCTATGAGTCAGAGCCGACGCCACGGCACATAACAACAACAACATATGGTCACTGTGAATCAGAATCAACTCAGTGGGTTTGTTTTTTTTTTTGTTATACCTATAGCAATTTTTATAATACACTTTATTTATTTAGAGCAGTGTTAGATTTACTTGTGGTTCAAAGTCCAATGCTTCTCCTACAGAGCCACCACACGCCCCTTAGTTTACATTAAGGGTCACAATTTTACAAGTTTTGACAAATGTGTAATGACATGTGCCCATCATTATGGTATCATGCAGAATAGTTTCATTGTCCTCAAAATGCTCTGTCTCCCCTTCCCCCAGTCCCTGTCTCTAGTACTTTTCTGTTTGTAGGTGTTCCATCTCCCCATCAACTGCCAGCTCCCATTAGCCCACCTGGTATTGGTGTGGCTAACACCATGCTTTAACCCACCCTCCCAGACCTGCCCTGAAGTCTAAGTCTCCTGTCCTATAGAGATCTGACAGCAAGTGGGTGAGAAGAAACAGAG